AGGAAGGAAGGAAGGAAGGAAGGAAGGATCTGTACCTCTTACTTTGTCTGGATGAAACAGCCACCAGCAGCCCGTGAGTCAAACCTAGTTTTGTCATAACGAGCAAGACCAGCCATGATCCAGAAGGCAAAGGGTTGCAGAGCACATCCTGATAGTTTTGGACAAAGAGGAGGGAACTGCTGCAGCTGGCGGGGAGGGGAAGGGAAGGATGGATGAGCCAACTATGGGAAAAGTCTGAGTGCCAGTTGCACAAGAAAGGTAGGGAACAGGATGGCTGCAGGCTCAGCCCAGGAAAGGGTTTTAAGGGTGGGAGGGAAAAAAAAAACAAAGGTGGGACAGGCCAACAGAGTGTGCAAAGTCCAAAGGACAAGAATCCAAAGAAGGGTTAAAAGTTTGGAAAAAGAAAACACCCGGGTAGAAAATTTTGGCTCCCGAAAGGACCTTTGAAGATACCTTTGCAGGTAGAAGAAGATTCGGGGCTTTTTTTTTTTTTGCAGAGGCAGGGAATCCTGTTGGCAGAGAGGGGTGGGAAGGAAAACTGGGCAGAAACTGGCGATCATCAGAAAAGAGAAAGGGGGGGGGGGCTGGAAAGTTTTTTTTTCCTGCAGCCCTGAAAGGAACAACTGGAGCCCCCCCCCCTCCAAGGAGAGCTCCAGTTACGCTGCCCGGCCATTGGCTGAGGGCGCCTGGGTGTTACTTACAGGAAACAAAGGAGGGGTGGGGAGATGGGTGTCAGGCTGCACTTAACTATTTCCTGCCCACAGACGGAAGTTTTGCCCGGCCAAAGAAAACAGCAGAAAACATAATCTATAATCTTGACCGAGAGCCCTGTCTTTCAAAAAAAAAAAGATCCAGGGGAATAGAAGGGAGGCTGCCATTAACCGGGGATGTATGGGAAAGGAGTCCTGAACATGCCTGGAATGCCAACGGCTGCATTCACACAACTTAACTGGATTCCTGAATGAAACCACCGTCTCTGTTCAATGCACCGAGCCATAAATTGAGGGGGCAGCCGGCTGTGCCACAAATGCTAAACTACTAAAACTTGGCATGCCGTGTGAACACAGCCGGTGTGGAATTAGATGCCTATAAACTGTAGTCCCAGAAACAGATGTGAGGATTGATCTCTGCTCCAAATCAAACCAGCAATGGTTTGTTTACTCTTCTGCCTGCTTATATGCCATATAAAGAAGAGCTGCTGGAATTAGGTGTGTCTAATTTGATGAAAATTAGAAAATTTCATGATCAGGGGTGACATGATAGCAGTCTTCCAATATCTCAGGGGCTGCCCCAAAGAAGAGGGAGTCAAGCTATTCTCCAAAGCACCTGAAGGCAGGACAAGAACCAATGGGTGGAAGCCAATCAAGGAGAGAAGCAACTTAGAACTAAGGAGAAATTTCCTGACAGTTAGAACAATTAATCAGTGGAACAACTTGCCTCCAGAGATTGTGAATGCTCCAACACTGGAAATTTTTAAGAAGAGACAGGACAACCATTTATCTGAAGTGGTGTAGGGTTTCCTGCCTATGCCAGGGGTTGGGCTAGAAGACCTCTAAGGTCCCTTTCAACTCTGTTATTCTATTCTATAATCTGCGTTTTTCACCTGCCATTCAAGAACCTTCCTAGGACATCTAAAGCCAAGTAGAGTACTGTATTGTGAAGAACCAAACCAGGGTCACAAAAAATAAAAATAAAAAATAGAATCATAGAATTTTGAAGTCGGCAGGGACCACAGGGATTATCCAATCCAACTCAACCTTTTGCAATGTGCTGGAAAACCAATTCAACTTTCTCTCTCTTCCTCTCTCTCTCTCTAGTTGCTGGGTGGACGTCACCATGGTGGGCATGGCCTTGTCAGCCTCCTGCACCATGGCGGTGGAGGAGGTATTTTCACCCTCCCCAGGCTCCTGAGGCTTTCCTCGAGCCTCCAGGAGGGGTGCAAAATGGCCTCCCCGGGCTCCGGAGGCTGTGTGGAGGAAGCCCTTTTTTTGCCCTCCCCAGGCTCCAGAGGCTCTCTGAAGGCCAGAAACAGGCCCATTTCCGGCCTTCCGGGAGGCCCATTTTTCACCCTCCACAAGCCTTTGTGCAGGCCCTGCACTTACCTGGGATCCAAAATAGGCCATGGGGAGACTCCTGGGAAGGGCGGGATGGGGTGGGCATGGCCAACCAGTTGTTGCAACTACCAGTTCAGCGAACCAGATATAAAATTAACATCCGGTTCACGCAAACCGGTGCAAACCGGTACCAGCCCACCCCCTGATCCTCTCCCACTGTGCCCTTCTCACACATTTGTTATACAGATAACACAAGCAACGGGGAGAAAGTCATATGTGTTTTCTTACTGTGCTTGAAAAGGAGACTATAAAGGATATAGCCAGCCGACATAAATATTACAGACAGTTCTCAAAGTGCAGTCACAACAAGCCTGTAATTCTAGTTATTGCAGTGTTAAGTTGAGGCACCACACACCTGGTCTTGATTTTACAACCATGTTTACAATGGCCATAAGGTGAGTCACGACAGTTGTGAAGTGAATCAAAAGGTCATTAAGTGAACAAGCTAATCCAGAATATCCAATGGCTATTTTATATGTACAAGGAGTCCTTAGTGACCACGATTGGGACTGGCAAACAAGTCCTTAAGCAAAGCCGTCAGTAAATGAAACCACAACTGTGCTTATATAGGTAGTCCTCAACTTACAATCATAATTGAGCCCAAAATTTCCAATGCTGAGCGAGGCCTTTGTAAAGTGAGTTTTGCCCCAATTCACGACCTTTCCTGCCACCGTTGTTAAGTGAATCACTGCAGTTGTTAAATTAGTCATGCAGTTGTTAAGTGAATCTGGCTTCCCCATTGACTTTGGTCGTCAGAAGATCACAAAAGGGGATCACATGACACCCAGGACACTACAACCATCAAATTTTTCAACTTTCAAATTCCAAACATTAAGGGGTACTGACATGCCTTGGGGATTGTAAAGATATTTTGAATATTTTAATATAATTTAGACGTGCTTGGTAAGTAAACTACATGAACATCGTAACTTTAACATTTTGTTTGTTTCATTTTGGGGATGCTACAACAGTCCTAAGTGTGAAAAAAAGGTCATAAGTCACTATTTTCAATGCCATTGTAACTTTGAACAGTCACTAAATGAACTGCTGTAAATTGAGGACTACCTATAATCTTTTTTCAGTGTTCCTTGGTTTTACAGACCTACGAAGATTTATCAGTGCAACGATCATTCACAAAATTGCTGTCTTGTCACCATTGTGACTACAAACAGTCACCAGACAGACAAAACCAATCTCTTCTTCTCCCCTTCAACTCAATCAGATTGGTGTCAACTCATAAAATATTTCTATGGTCTTTTTGGAGTTGCCAACAGAAAGGGAGGGGGGAGCAGTGCAGCCACTTGCAAACCGAAAGTGCATTCCATAAATGTTTTCAAAGATAGTAACTAGTTTCTGCCCCCGCAAAATTCAAACTAGAAAGCATGATTGATGAATCTTGGCTATGGATTTGTCCCATTGGAGAATATGAATTATGATACACCCAGGGGTTGGAGGGAAAACCAGGGTCAAGGGTGATGATGAATTATGTGTCTCAGGGCTGACTACACCCAGGCAGTGTCAGTATGTTAATTCCCAATAAATCCTTTTTAAGTTTTGGAAGTTTGGCTCGAGAATCATGATTTAAATGGGGGTAACTGCTGGAATCCTGACAATTGGTTTATTTAAATGTTCTTTGACTGTTTTCGTTTTCCACAAAACAAAACTCTATCAGGCAACACCTTCTTGTCATTTAAAATAAATAATCTGAAAGTTGCCTTTGGGGATCCTTTGATCAGATGCCAGGATGAATTTCCAAAATAAATATCTAAGTACTGACTTCACAAACAAACCCAAGCTACAAATGGCAGGGCAGCCTTTCAGTAGCACACAGCAACAGTTCTTCAAAGCTAGTCTTCCAATCCCAAATGCAATTAAATATGGTCTGTTTCCGTTCTAAACTGAACACAAAGATAACTTTATATAGTCATCACTGCCAACAGCAGGAGAAGAATTTCTAAATCTCCTTTTGCACTTTGGGTTTCAGCAAATGTCAAAAGTACTGAAGTTAAAGTTGGGGAATTGGCGGTGTTGCCAAACAATTCACCTAGGATTTCCACTAAATCTTAGTGGGAATCTAGTAAGGAAACAAATTCCTTTTTTTCCTGTTTTATCTTGCAAAGGGAAGAAAATGTCCCTTGAAATGCAAAGTTGTATTTCTTTCAGACAGCTGTGTGTGATAAGCAGCAACGAATTCAGTTTCTGGGTAAACATGCAAAGAAAATATATCCAGTGATTCAAGTAAAACGAATTCTATTAAAATCTACAGATAAAGCAACTATATTTTCTTAGGAAAAAAATTAAAGGTCAAACCTGAAAGTGAGGCAAATCTGATTTTTAGAAAACTTCATAATTTTGCTTTATCCAAAAAATAATCAAGAGCAAAACCGAGAAAATGAATAATTAAATTAAAGAAATCTAAAGGTCAGCTTCCTGAAATAAAGGACTGCCCTTTATAATAAAGGCCATATGGTCACAGTTATCTATAGGGCTCCCGTGGAAAGATCTTTAAGTTAAAAACTCACATGGCTTTGGGGATATTGCAAAGCAATATATCTCTTCAGTGAATTCTCATCCTTCTGCTTGTAAGGAAATATTTTATGCTTCTAACAGCTTTTATACTTAACCCTCTGACAGAAAAACAATATTAAACAGCCAACTTGATGAAGTGCTGAAGGTATATAGAAACTATATAGAAACTAGGAGACAATAAACGTGAAGCTGGGTGATTTTGGGCCACACCATCACATTCAGCAAAGCCCACCTCACAGGGTTGTTGTGGGGAAAATAGGAAGAGGAAGGAGTATTACATATAGACTGCTTTGAGTTATACATAAAAATGGCAGGATTAAAAAAAATCACCGTCATCATCTACTTACACTGTACCAGCTCTGCATTTTCTGGAAAAAAAAGAGAAAAGAAAAGAAAAGTTAGAATTAAAAGTCTGTAGAGATTCTCAGTCATCCATGGTTGTCCCAAAGTTGTTTTTTCAGGAGGCACCTGGACTTTCTTGTTTTTTTTTCCCTTTGAAGACGTTTCACTTCTCATCCAAGAAGCTTCTTCAGCTCTGACTGGATGGTGGGGAATATTCCTTGCAGACATTGGACATTTGCATCCTTGAATTGTTGAAGCACTTGGAAGTTTAACTCGGTCTCACGGTCACCTTTTAGCTATATACCTTTTAGCTTTCTTTGAGTTATACAATTTGGGATGAACACCCTTCGAATGGTGTAGGAGTAGGAATGGATTTCCAGAGGAAAAACTGCAGACTACAGAAACCAGGAGCACTACTCAGATGACCCTGAGGACACTGATAAACCTCCAAGTGCTTCAACGACCCTCTAAGGATGCATATGACCAGCTGTCTTCAAGGACTATAAATCCTCCCATTCCCCACCATCCAGTCAGAGCTGAAGAAGCTTCTTGGATGAGAAGTGAAACATCTTCAAAAGAAAAA